ATTCTATAATATTATTATTTTTTATATAAAATTAATATTTGTAGTACTCTCACCAAATGTTTACTCGGTAGAATTTTATATTATAATATTAATCACGACTTGATATTGTAATTAATATTTAATAATATTTAAATTTTATTTTTATTTTTATTTTTATTTTTATATCATAAAATTGATAAAATGAAATTAAAATATGATAAAAAATAATAATAATTAAATATACAATTTAATGTAAATACTAATTGTCACGTGATTTACTTAATGTTAAATTATGTTCAATATTACAATTTTACTGAATGAATAAATCAAAATTGCATATTTAATAAAATTTATGAACTAAAATTATAGAATTAAAAATTTAAAAATAAAAATTGTAAATTGATTATTATAAAAGAACTAAAAGTGCAATTTAACATTACATTTTATATCTTTTAAAATATAAAAAAATGAAGTTTTGGCATAAGCTCTGACCTCTTTTCGACGAAAACTAAACGATATTTTAGATAATTTTTTTAGTTATTTTTATTTAATAAATTATATCAATTGGCAAGACATTTAATAAAAGTGAGATTTAAATGCACATTTATTATTGTTAGGTTAAAGGAATGAAAATAGATTTTAATTACATCATTAATGAGTATTTGAGTTTATAGACTATTTTACATTCATTTATTAATACTTCATTCATTTTTTTTACGTTTAAGGTTTATGCTCAAGAATTAAGAAAATAATTAATATTTTAATTTTTTAAAGTATTTATTACTTATTTTTCTTTTATACCCTTTAGATGGTTAGAGAAGAAATATGTATATTGAAAATGAATAAACACATTGTTCAATAAACACACAATAATTATCAAGGTTAAAAATGAAAAATAAAATTAATAAGTCATTGATTTTATAAAAGTGACAATGAAAAAAAATAAAAATAAAAGTATCAAAACGCTTATAAAAAAAACAGAGGAAATATCTTTTTTAAGAGCAAAACAAAATTTTGTTAAATCATACTCATTAAAATACAAGATGTACTCGTACAAAAATATAAAAATATACAAAAATTATGTAGTAACACAATCGCATGCTCTAAAACACACCTAAACATTACATTTATTAATATTACATAAATTAAAAAATGAGAACATCAATTATTTTAGTATTTGATCTTTTTCAAATACTAAAATTATAGTTATTTTGAAATAGTAGAGTAATATCAAATAAGAAAGTTTTTTTTCCGTAATTTTCTCCACCTAAAATAAGGATATTTTAGTCATTTCTTTAAATAAAAATATTTTATACTTAATATACTAATATTAAATATTTTTTAAAAAGTGTCAAAAAAAACATGAAAAAAATTATGGTTCAAGGAAAATATTGATTGATGAGACGTTTAATATGAAGTGAGATTTAAATGCACACTTATTACTATTAGGTATGGGTAGAAGATAGGGTTTTAATGATATCATTATTAAACATTTATATTCATGCATTGATTATTTTACATAAATTTTTATATTTATGAGTTTTAATTTTTAAAAATAAAAATGTCATATTTAAAAAATAAAATGAAAAACTAAATATAGTCTTGATTTGTAATAATTGCTCATTTATCATTTCTAGCTATCTATAATGTAAAAGTTTTACAATATTTCAAACATTATTGATATGTAACTATTGCTATCTTTTAGAAGACATTTAATATAAATTGGGATTTAAATGTACATTTATAATTATTAGGTACTGTCTTTAAATTTATATATAAGTAAAATATTTTTAAAATTTTTAACTTAAATATAAGTAAATTTTAACAAAATCAATCTTATTTAATATTTTTGAATACAAAATACTCTTAAAACAATAAATGGGATCATTTTCTAAATAGATGTTCCCTTAAAAAAGATTACAATAAATGTGATTAATGATATTTTAGAAATGTAGTATATATTTTATGTGAAATTATAAAAATTAAATATATTTAATTAATTTTCTTAATTAATGCGTATAAAATTGATTTTTTTTTCCATATATGGTGGTCCAGAGGAAGGATTACAGGAAAGATAATGGGAAAGACAAAGGGTTTTAATTGTACCATTAATGAGTAAATGTATTCATCTTTTCATTCATCGGTTATTTTACACTTATTTATTGTATTTATGAATTTTAAGTTTTGAAAATAAAAATGCTAGATTTAAAAGATAAAATACTCCTTTCATCTCAAAATGACTGCAATTTTAAAATTTTAAATAACTAATATTCTCAATTTTTAATATAATAGTATTTTTCCCCCTAATTTATCCCCACGAAATTATTAAAAGAATAATTGTATTTGTAGAAGATAAAACTAAAAGAATGATATCTCTTTTAGTAAAATTGTATTAAAAAATTGATGTTTTTAATCTCTTAAAAATTAAAAAAATATTTCTTTGATCCCATAAATTTAAGTTTTGTGTTTTTAATTCCTATAATTTTTTTTTAAAAAATATTATTTTGATCTCTTAAATTTAAAACTTGTTTTAATCCTTAAAATATATAATAATAATAAATAAATAAATAAAAAGCAGAACCCATGTAGCACCCATGTAGTTACACATGTTTCCATTTGATATAAGTATATATTTCTCACCACAATTAATTATAACAAGATTAGGTGAAAATATGTTTCACTAAACCGCGACAAGTAACTATTACTTTGGACAATTTTATTGACATAGATTAACAATTTTGTTTGTTACTGAAATAAAAGAGTAATATAATTGCTCAGAGTCCTACCTCAAGTGACACCAAGTTCCTTTGATAACTGCTAAATGCTAATCCAACATCGGATATGTTTGGTTTTCCATCTAACACCTAATTTTTTCCGTAGATTTAACTAATGGTTTGGATGAAAATTTTTATAAATTTAAGAAATTAAATTTTTTAAAATTTTAAATTATTTTTTATTTTTTATTTTTATTATTATTTAAATGTTTTATTTAAATAATTTAAAGAAAAAGAAAAAGATATATATATATATATATATATATAATGAATTTAAATTAGAATTTAAAATTTTACTATTTTAAGAAATTTTATGAATACTTAAATTTAAAAAAAAATTATAAATTCTTTATCCAAATAAAATATTTTATTCTAAAACATTTAAAATTCTTTAAAAAAATAATCATTCTCATTAAATTTTTCATCCAAACATACTCTATAAAAAAAATGTTAAAGTGAATGATAGTTGCTTAATTGTTCCCATCTCCTTATACAAATCCATCTCACCTTGTAATGTATCTAATATTTAATTGGATAGTAAATGAATTAGACAAGTAAAGTCGTTTAGTCAATTAAAATAAACAATGTGGACTAGCAGATTTTATCCACTAATTCATCTTGGTTAATCTGTCAACTCGATGAACTCTTGGCAAGGTAAAGTTGACCTATCAAGCTACTTTTTATGTGTAGTGTGAGATTTAAATGTTATATATTAATATATAACTAGCCATTACCAATAAAATATTTATAATATGTTTAAAAGCTAGTATAATATTAGAAAGAAACCTTAAACATGGTAAATTACAAATTTTCTAAACAAAATATATTACAGTTTTAAAGTATAGCCAATTTTTTGTTCCAAATAACAAGATAAGAAAAACTTATTTTAAAGCTAAACATAATAGATTATTAATACACTTTAGGTCTTTTAACTAAATTTGTCAATTAAAATTAGTGTTAAGATAAAATTCTCAAATTTTTCTTTTTTCTACTTTTCTTTTTTCATTTCTTGTAGTTTAATCTACTCATTTGTCAAACGACTCCTTAATGAAACGAATCATATGATTTTTAGCTTACCATCACTAGCAAGTGAGTCTACCTCGTCTTCTTTTTTGTTGACGAGTAATACAACGAAGTGACCTACTTTTGTCACTCATAATTCACATACACACATGCATTTCTAATTTTTAAAATAAAATTTGTGTGTAGACAATTAGTACACATAATACATATAATATCATAAAAATTTTAATATTTTGTGGGATCCCCCAAAACCTATAAGGTAGGTCTGTCCCCTACCTTGCCCAAGTCATTAAACCTACACTTTGATCTACATTTTCCCATCCTACTACACCACGTCTTAGAAACCCTCTTTCTGTAATCTAATTAAACAAGTTTCCGTTAATATGGCTGGTTATTTTAGTAGGTTAATTTAAATGGTTATACTTTAAAATAAGGGGGTCCATGAAACTTTAAAATATAAAAAAGAGGTTTATGTGTCACACATACACGCGTTATCAAACTTAGAATACCGTGGTTGAATCTTGTAACTCACTCATTTTTCATATGATTATCAATATTTACCAATAAAAGGGTCAATTCAATTCCCATTTCCCATGGTTAAAGTCCATTAGGCCAAACTAAGTAGGTCTTCAACGTGGTCTAAATTTGTGGTTAGCACGATCACATCACACCTAAACAAAGTTTAGCCAACAACCCTCACTAACAACGACCTGCCATCACATATATTAAAGTTTTAAACTAGGAACTTTGAAAACTAATCAATGTTTATTAAAAAAGACTGGCCAGCTTATCATTCTAAGGATACCAACCACCTGGCCATTGGTTTGATGCTTCTTTCAATTTCCTTAAACAAAATTTTGAATTCAAATTTTGTAAATAGAAAAAAGATATTGAAAAAAAAAATTATTAAAAAAGATGGTCAAATTCTCGAGATTAATTATCGATAAAATCAGTAAATATTTTATACTAATAACATGATTATTTAAAAAGAAATATCAATTTTTATACGTGATATACGTAACGTAATATAAGATACTCACATGTTTGAGAAATAGATTGGCATGTTTTCTACAGACAAGACAAAGAATTTTGTGCAATGATGGATATATACAAAGTGAAAAGGCCCTTAAAGTATATTCAAGGACAAGGATTTTACATTCCCTCCAGTTGTGCACATTGTGCTATTGGGACATCTGTATTATGCAATAAAAGTCAGACTTGTATTTAAGATGGCAACTGCAGAGGTTAAAAAAAATATTATTTATAGATACTTCTTATGACCAAAGATGGCAGTCCCAACATTCCCTTTGTTTAATTGATGCTTTCAAATTATTTTAAGAGTTTTATAATCTGTATTAGGAATAGGAACCTTCCTGGTTCCTCCTTGAATTTAAGCCCTTAGCAGTTAGCACATAGTACATCTACCATTTCACTTCACAACCTTTTTGGCCCTTTACCAAAACTTTTTGCAGCTGAAACAGATAAGCAGATATCAGGCTATCTCTATTAATGTAAGTTCAATGCAGATTTTTCCTTCATCAGCTATAGTCTCTCATTCTATGTTTCTTTGCCAGTGTGTGTTGTTTTTGCTTTGAGTTGGCATATACAGCTTTCCTGCCTCAGAAATGGATTCTTTTAAACAAATCTGGGGTGCAGAAGGATGTAGCAGTAGTGAATCTGGTTGGACTATGTATATTGCCTCTCCCATGCAGGAAGATGATGCTGGATGCAGCAATGAAAATGATGGATATCATGACATCTATGGTGAGAACAGGAGAAAGAAGCAAGGGGTCAAAGTAGATGAAGAAGAAAGTGATGACTCAATGGCTTCAGATGCTTCCTCCGGCCCAGTTCATTACCATCATGCTTATGCTCACAGACAAAGTAGTCACGGGTCAGCAGCATCTAAGAAAGATAAACAAGATCATGGAAGCAAGTGTTCTTCTAAGAAGAACGCAAACAAACAGGAGAAGAAACGGGTTGACAGCAGAAGTAAAAAATGATGAGAAGTTCCATTGTATGTATATGATGCTGGGATTTTTGTAACCATGCATCTTCATAGTTTGAATTTGTTGATTTGTACTCATACCTCTTCTACTCTTAAGGAAATATCCCTAAACATTCTTTGAAGTAATGGAATCACAAGTTTTATGCGTTTTCAAACTGAACTCTATGTTGAATGTTATTATTCTTTGAATGTGAATACAAATTCCAAGTGTGAGGATAAAGGAATGAGCCATGAGAAACACACCATAACTATGGTTGAATAGAAGTATTATCAGTGGTATACAAGCCAAATAATACCAGTTTCCACCAAAAGATTTGATGGTTCTAAGTTCTAGGTTCTAGGAGGGAAGAACTGTAGAGAATAGGGTCAAATCTTTTATCATGTAACTTCAACTTCACGTTTTTTTTACCTCGGTTTAAAACAGAAAATCATGCCAGCAGTGAAGAGAATTGTCTGTAGATCCATCAAGGCATCATCATTGATACAAGCACAACTTAAGGGTGAAGGGATATTGCAGTTAAAAAGCAAGAAATGTAAAAATTCCAAAACTAGAGGACGTAGAAGTAAAACGAGAGTTAACTGGTGCAAGAATGTTGAATTGAAAGTTAAAATCCTCTTGTTTATTATTACGTATGCAAAAGTTGTATTGAGCTGGTTGGCAGAAGAAACAAGAAACATGACACAAGAAAAGAGGCCTAGGGGCAGTTAGAGATGTGGCCAAAAGATTGAGGATAATAGCACAAAGGGAGAAAGTATTTTCTATGAAAAACCTTCCAATAATGATTCGTGCATGCATGTGTGTGTGCTGCCAAATGGTATGCAGCACGAATGGGGTATGCTGCGCTGGAAAGAGGGTAAGGTTTCACATAGTTACACAAATGACAACTAGAAGCAATAAAAGCATTGTTGCAGTGACAGGGCATTGGCTGGTTATGTGAACTAACTTTGCAAAGATTGGACACGAATGCAACAGCAAGGCAATCGCAAGTTTTAGGCTGTATCAGTGACATAAAAACATGAGGGCACACATGACTTGAAAGGAATCAAAAAAGGTCACACTCATATAAAACCAATAGAGAGAGAAATTTCTTTTATGTAATAGAAGATAGAAAATAGTTTTTTTTTTTTTTTTTTTTTTTTTTTTTTTCCTTTTGTCCACATTTTAGCAAAGAAGGAAAACCAGTGAAACACTTTGGCGGAAGTTGTCATTGTTCACCGGATGCTGGCAAATGGTAATGTTTAGTTGAGTCATCATCGGGCTAACACTAACAAAACTTATTTTTTTGTCTAATGAATATATAATGAATACGACATATATAGTATTTTAAAACTAATAATTAAAAGTTAATTTATATTCGTAAGACGTGATTTTTATTAATTTAATATTATTTTAATATCGACAGAAATCAATTATAAAAGTTCGAAATCGATCTTTTGTATTTCGGAACAAACTTTATAATCAGTGTTTTGAATCTTAATAGAAATTTTGATAGCATCAGAATTTAGGATTGCTACAGTGCTCACTTCTGCTTCCAATTTAAATCATAGCTGAATTATATAGTTTCCACTGCCACGAGGGGCATTACGTTAATCACCCTGAACTTTGTTGTTTTTCAGATTCCTAAAACTATTTTTAAATATTCAATTGGTTAGTCACCACTTGCAATAGCCTTTTGTGATTTGAATTGATTCGTGCATATTAATTATCAGCAAGTAACGGAGAAAGAGATAATAGTAATGGGAACCACCAAAGATCCAATCAATTATACATGATCCAAATTTGTAGCTTCCTTTTAGAAAGATGATCAACAAGAGTTGCAATGCCTTTAATTCTCAATAACAAGAGTTGCGACAAGAAATTATTAGTGAAGGATTTGCAAATGAATTGTGCCAATCCCTGATTCAGCTAAAAAACATTAAGGACTTTTCAATCATTGAACTCATTATTGAAAAAATCATTATAGGTTTCTCAATCATTGAGTCCATTATTGACACAGAAGACTTTAAAGAAAATATAACAAAACCGAAGAAGCTCAACATCAGCAGAGAAGGGAAGATATGGTTAATGAAAGAAAAAGATGGGTTCACAGAAATTACTTCTAACGACTAGCTCAAATATAAGGGGCTTAGAGGAAATTGGAAATGTATGACCCGTTTCTTTTGAGAAAAAAGTTCTGTTTTTACTATTTTTTTTAATCAAACTCGATAGTCGATACCAAATTTTACAAAAATTGTCATCTTATTTTCAAATATTTGCACATAAAACCATAAAAACAAAAATTTCTTTATCTATTTCTTGTACAAATCTTCTAAAACAGAAGATAGATAAAAACCCAGATGACAATTTTGCAATAAAAAATGTTTTCTCAAAGTTAATGGATCCTATAAAAAGCTAAAAGTGAGCTAATTAAAAGAAAAACTTGCTCACTTCTAAATAGTGTTTTAAAATACTAGTCAACAATACAGGGAAGGTACTCGTTCATGATTCATTGATTCAACCATGGTTAAATTAGTGATAATTAAATATTTTTTAATTTTATAAATGCCTTAAGTTACAACTAATAAAATCATAAAAACTCAGGTTAGATAAAGTTTTAAATTAAAACCAGATGATAATATTATATATCATGCAAGGTACAAAAAGAATCATGAGAAGATAATAATAACAATTTATAAGTGAACCTCATATGCGAACCTTTGTAACTTAACAATAACATTGAGCATTTACAAAAAAAATAAAAATAAAAAATGAACCAAACAGTTTGGACCGGTTTATCTCTGCTTCTTGATCAGTTCTCCGCAGGTTTTAAGCTGATTTTTTGGGCTAAACAGACCGAACATTTGACCAATTCACTCGTTTTCTGGTTGAACGGGTGAGTTCAGTTTGTTTTCTTGAACAATGCTCTTAAACCACGCATGTTCTGCTAGGTAAGGTCTGACATAAAAGATTTACAAGGAAACTGTAAAATCCAAGTTCAACCCCAACAATTGAGAAAAGATGAAGGAAATCAAAGAAAAAGAAAAGTACGCATTTTTTCAAGGGCCATAGAAAGAGTATGAATCTGCATGTTACTCCTGTCTAACTAATTCAAAACACAAGGAGTAAGTGGAAGAAGTGGGAGAGAAAAAGAGTCCATCTATAAACACATAATCCACACCTGTGCATGCCAGATTTTGATTTGTCTTTATCTGTGGGGCAAGCTACAACAAAATCAAAAATTGTCATCCTCCACAAGTATGCAATTCCAAAAGAGTGCAACTATTATTAGAGGTTTAAAGTAGAAAATAAAGTAACAACTACCTTTAGTCCTGCTAAGTGGGACCAGTTACATTGATCAATAGATGCCATTGGCCTCCATCAGGAACCAAAAATTGAATTATTGATTCATAAATAAATAAAAGTGCCAAATTTTATGTAGGCTTTAAAAAACTATCCCCATTAATATGGAGCTCAGATCAGCTATTGACTACAATACAGGCAGAGTAAAAAATAAGGTTTTAATTTAGATCCTTTGTTTATCACTATCATTCAATTATATGTTGCATAACATTAAAAGCGCTTGACTTATGAGCATCTCAATGATGTGACAAGGGACAAAATATGATTAAGGGATAACATATGTTAAGAATTATACGTTTAGGACCCAGGAAGGGAAAAAAAAAACATGAGAAAGACAGCTCAAATTAATAAACAAAAGATATTCTCAATAGAGATAACTTAATACCGATATTTATACTAATGGTTAGGTCTTGCACTAGTTCTAGCAGTACAAGCCCAAGGCGACTAATAAAGTAATAATAAAACCAAAACCTAAATAAATCAAGAAAGATATGAGATAATCTACTGATATTCGTATTATTCTCTAACAATATCAAACTTGTTCTCTCTTGAAGTAGATCAATATTAAATTCAACAAGTTAGAATGAAAAAAAAAAAAAAAAATTTCAACTCCTGCGGTGACAACACATGTATACATGGTGCTAAAGGAAATCTTATCAAAATGTGAAAATTAAAAAGGCACCATGAACTGGGTCCAATTTTGTATCGAGCATAGCACAATCAGCAAAGATACAACATAGTTGGAAAACAGAATACCAAGCAATTCAGTTGGAAATAATAATAAAACTTCACCACATTGTGGCTATGTAAACTCAACTCAGCATACAGTCTGAGCAGAAAACATTACATTTATTAGGAATCCTCATGGGCTCAAATAAAGTAATCTAAATTTTTGACCCTTTGGCAAGCTTGAACCACTCAGTATGGTAAGACCCCTCAATGTCAACCCTTTCGTATGTATGGGCACCAAAGTAGTCTCGTTGAGCTTGCACCAAATTAGCTGGCAATCTTTCCCTTCTGTAAGTGTCGAAATAAGCAAGACTAGCAGACATACCTGGAGTGCTGATACCAGAATTGATAGCAAGGCAAACAACTCTCCTCCAGGCAGATTGGCGATCAATAATTTCCTTCGCAAACTCTGGATCAACAAGAAGGTTTGCCAGATTAGGGTTTCTATCATATGCCTGCTTGATTCTGTCTAAGAATATTGCTCTAATGATGCAACCCCCTTTCCAAATCCGGGCCAGTTCACCCAACTTCAAATCCCAACCCTTTTCAATACTCTTTGCACGGATCAGATTCATTCCCTGTGCATAACTACAGATTTTGGCTGCATAAAGAGCCTTCCTAACATCGTCAATCAGCTTCTTCTTGTCTACTGGTTGATCAGTCACAATATCACCAAAGCCACCTGATTTAAAGACCTTTGCAGCTTCAACTCTTTCCTCCTTCAACCCACTCAGGAACCTAGCATCCAAAGATGCTTCAATAGTGGGAGCAGCAACCGATAATTCAGCAGCTTGCTGAACAGTCCACTTACCAGTACCCTTCATGCCAGTCTTGTCTAGAACCTTGTCAACAAGATACCCATCTGCTTTATCATCCTTAATTCCAAATATATCTGCAGTGATTTCAATCAAGAAACTCAGAAGTTCTCCCTTGTTCCATTCTGAGAAGACACTTTGTAGTTCCTCATTTGACAACTTCCCCACTGATTTCAGCACATCATAAGCCTCGGCAATCAGCTGCATGTCACCATATTCAATGCCATTATGGACCATCTTCACAAAATTACCAGATCCACCTTTGCCAATAT